TGTTAGGAGCGATGGCGGGGGGCGTGGGATACCGGGGCGGGCAGGAGAGCGACTGGGTGTCTCGTCTAGGAGAGGACCTCGTGGCCTTCAACATGGGAGACGAAAAGGAAGGGGGGAAATGGAAAGAGAGCGCCAAGAACCCGGAGGTGTGGTACAACAAGGTCGAGGACGGGGCGGCATGGTTCATGAGGAAATGGCACAGGCAGGAGGCGGAAGCGTCCGCGAAGCGCCAGCGCGCGCGGGAAGCAGAAGCAGAGAGTACGACCATCTCAGGACCGAAGAGAAAGAGAACCGGCGAAGCGGCGGTGGGGGGGAAGAAACGGCGACCGGGCACTGCTGTAGAAGCGAGTAGGGCGGCCGAGGCAGCGCTTGTGGCGAACTATGTACCCGGCTGATTTTGTTGCGCTNTGCCCTGGTGCGCAGTGCCTGGTGCTGGTACGTTACCCTTTGATTTTTTCTTTGGGCGGGTGTGGGAAGCGTCCTCCTTAATTTTTATTTTTCTTAATATGACACAACGAGTCCATCTCTATCATAGAAAAGAGTCAGAGACAGATTAACAATGGAATCATAGCGTCAGAGAAAACTACCTGTGTGTCTACGATTTTCCAGACAGCATATAGGGACATCTCCCCTGTGGGTAACAGGCTCAACAAATCAGTTTGGTAGCTGTCTTGTGTGTCTCATATATGTTATGTTGGGAAGGTGCAGACGAAAGGTGTCGGGTACTGCTGTTGGGTAGACTTAATTTTTCTGTTATTTTTGTTTTGTTTTATTTTGATCGGTGTCCGAGGGCTCTTTTCTCGAACGGTCGGTGCGATATCTGTTCTTTTCTTTCTATCATTTTGTTTTCTTTTACCGGGTGGTTTGTACCCATTTTGTTTTTTTTCTCGCGGCGTCGTATGTGCCGGTTTTTGAGACCACGGGCTCCCCATTTTTTGTGGACTATAGAGCTAATGTGAGAAACAACAACAACAACAACAACTTGTGTACTTTTTTTTTTTTTTGTCTTCACTTCAAATCAGGGCTCACAGCACTGGTGCCGTTTACTCCAACCCGTGGTCACACAGTAGAGCCCCTCTCTACCTTCCCCTCCTGCGGTACTTTGCCTTCGATTATTAATGCGAGAAGAGTTAAGCACTCTCTTCCCTATGTGTACATACGAACTAGCGCTATCCACTAGGTTAGGAGCGGAAGCGAGAGAAAAACTCACCTTGCAAGAAAAGCTCGCTTACGCCGGGATTGAACCCCTAACCTGACCTCCAGGAGGTTTCGGGGATGCCAACTAGACCACCGGGGCGACCGGATGTACAACGATGTTGTTGCCGTTGTTTGTGTTCTGTTTTTTTCATGCCATCCATGATGGGTGAATACCCAGCGGGGGCGGGGCAAATTCAACCAAGTAATTGGTCTATCGTTCGTGATGCTTCAGGGCTGTGTTTATTGTGTGCACTCGTCCATCATACCAGCTGGTCCACACGTACGTGTCGCGTTTCGTGCACACCAATCACTAGTGTAGACTATTGGCGTTTATCTGGGACCGACGTGCGATGTAAGAACCGGCCCTTGACCTGTCGACAATTAATCGTTTATTATCATTTGACGAAGCTATTTCGTGGAGCGCTTGTAAGCTTCTTCTGCGCGTTGCGCTCCGAACCGCGGGTGTTCCGCCTTAGCGCTCTCTGTCACCTACGCTGCTACTGTGTATGCCAATCGCCAACAAAAGATGGTGGGTACGTGGCTGTTGCTCTATAACCAGCGTGATACCTCCTTGGGCAAGTAAATGACGTGTACGACGGTCCGCTGACGCATTCATTCTCTGTAACCCTCATTCCGCCCGCTTTTTTTTTTCATAATTTTGGCGAGGACCGGGTGGGATCTATCGGTGCGTGTTGTTTGTACGGCAGTAGTTCCTTCCACATATATTCAGCTCTTAGCCCAGCTCCCACACTGCATAGTCTATAGCAAGACCTTCCATGACCACGGGGAGGGTGATATCGCTCTCTCAGGTTCCAGTAGGTGCTCTAAAACCGGTTGGTAACCCTTCCAGCGCAGTATTGGTACGTTCACCGCCGGTGAGATGAATTTTGTGTTGTTGGCAGAAACTGGCACTTTACTGCCAGTGAGTGCAGCAGGTGGCTCCAAGCCAAAGAACAGATTTTTAGATAGCAAACATAACCTCACAGAAAGACTACCCGTTCGAGTTATAACCTCAGTCGAAAGGATTTTTGTTTGTTCTCTCCCGTTGCATGTTGTTGTTGTTGTTGTTGTTGTTGTTGTTATTGTTGTACCGCCAAATGGGTCAAGGGGAAAAAAATGCATCTAAACAACAGTAGGGGAAGCGTCGTCTGCCTCTTGCGTGATTTGGTGCTGCATGTCATATGTACTTGAATACTGGGACGGAAGTGTGAGATTACGTTACAACGTGCACCTTGCAAGTAACAGATCTGGACTTCGTTCGTATGAGGTGTACAACAGATCTCGACGGGGTATTTGGAAAAAGCGTCTCTACCCCCGCTTGCGCCGTGCTGCAGACCTATATCCTTCTCAAGAGGGGAACGAATGCCCGGTGATGAACAAACATGACCGTTTCCCGATCGATTCCCTCCTTCCTGTCGTCGAGGCACGCGCAATCTTCGCGGCATTTCATTGGCAGCCTATCACACCCGCCCTGCGGCCGGGAGAGGCCACATGACGGACGCACCAATGGCCGAGAAGAAGGTTGCTCGAACTTTCTCTGCACATTATATTCGGTTCTTTAGTTCCGGAATCTGTCCTTCGGCACGCGACCAGATTCTCACATCTGACTCGATCTACCTGCCCTTGCCCTGCCCACACCCAATCACTTACACACATCTTTTCACCACAGCTTTCCTGGCAACCAGCTGGTCTTTCCCCCCTGCTGCCACACACACCACTGCCGTCCTCCCCGAATTCTACATCGAGCAGAGGCACGGTAAGGGTGGAAGAGAGGTGAGACCCCGTGTGCAGACAAGCGTCAGGTCGGGTGAAGCTACCGCTGCAGGAGCCAACTTGCTTTTGTTCGTTGCCGGTATGGTCCCCGGCGCGACGGGTGATTTTGAGAGATTTTTGATGTGTCGTGTGTGTTCTTGGTTTTTTCGCTCCTCGGCAATGTTTGTACCATGCTACAAACACTCGACACGCATGGACGGAGACGCATGTTTTGCCATGCCACGCGACGCCAACAGCGACAGAAACAACCACTTCAAGCCAGCACGCACCTGGTAGTCTGTCGGAAGCAATTAGGATATGGTTGGCTTAGGAACGCGCACCATGATGACTGCACAATCCTCTTCCTAAAATGTCTCAGGTTGTGCGCGTCTTTTGTTTCCCACCACTTCAATGTAAGACTCCCCTTGCCGAAATGTACCGTGCTCTCTCGTCCTCCTACTGCTAGCCTCTCGCTCACGACGTAACAGCTAAACACCCCTCTGCTGCGCACCACCTGTGTCCGTATAACTCGAACTGCGAGCGCTTTCCCGCCTATCGCACTCGATCGAAAAGGCACAGGTTGTGGTGTGGCGAAAGCTTGCCCCCTGCACCTAGCTGACTCTTTGTGCGATGACCGACTTTGTTTTTTTTGCATCACATGCTTTCTACAATAATACTCTTGTACGTCTTTCTTCCGCCATCCCTGTCAACGCCGCACGCGTGTCACCCTTTTCACGCGTGCTACAGCAGTTATTGTGCGTAGAGGTTGCTCATTCCGGCGGCTCGGCGACATGTGTCCCAATCTATTCCGAGAGCTGTTATTCCCCATGAAACAGGGAACAACAGTGGCCGTTCAAACCGTTGAAATTTCACACATGCGCGTTCGGGTTGGTGAGGGCAAAGGGCGGTCGGGCTCCACTCGCTTCTTGCTGTCGTGTCAGGTCCGGCGTCCGTAGAGCGCTGATCCAAAGCTTCAAGTACGCGCTTGCAACCCGTATTTTGTCGGTGATTCCGGGCGTCCGCTCAGTTTTTTTTTCAGCAGCAGATGTGTCCTCTCACTTTTTCGATCGGTCGGTCTGTGGTGGTATCCCACCGGGATGAATCTCACTAATGAGCCCAACTGTTCTGATTTTGCTTCGATCCTGACGTAATAACGAAGCGCTCATTTTTTTGCTACAAAAGTCCACGCCAGTGTCTTACACCTCACACCATCCTGCTGTTCGATAACTAGCAAGGTGATGGACAGACTTCGGCATGTGGACGAATATCCTATTTGAGGTCAAGATTGTGGTTGGTGTCCAGGTCTTTTTCTTCCGAATCTGTCTTTGTGTTGTGTGTTGATTGAATCTTGTGCGTTGTGCCGCGTCCTTGAGAGTTTTCAATTTGTAACCAAGGTTCAGTTTTTCCGGTCGATGCAAATGGATGACACAATTTTTTTTTCGCGCCTTCCATTTTGCCGTCGCCCGCCCAGGACCTGTGGCATTGCATAAAATAGGCACCGATGAGGTTGCGCTTTCGTCTTCCGTCGGACTGTGCCCTCTGATCTGGCCTTCCATGGTCCAGGTTACGCCAATTATTGCCGAGTCATTGTTTTCTCGGCACTATGCTGATATTTTACCGAAAACCGGCGTCATGGAAACCAACCATTTTCGAATTTGACCTTGCAAGATGCTTGTTCAAGGACGGAACGACGCGGTTGAGAGGCACACTTCGATATACCTCTCCTTGCTGTGCTGGACGTATCCTCGCGACGGACCGTAACAATCTCATGTCTCTCTCACTTCTTGCTACAACACGAAAATGGAAAACATACCTGCTGTGCCTCCGGAACGTCGTTGTACGGAAGCAATTCACTCGAAAAGGCGTCGTTGCAACGCTGCTGCCACGCGGACCTGTCCTTGAAGTAGATCGCACCGTGCAGGTACAAAGTAACAAGGATTTTTTACAATTGCGATTCTTAACTGTCGACCCTGGATCAGATCAAGGTACTCATTCCCTGTTGCTGCTGTTCTGTGACGGTATCCCAAACAATGTCAATCCCGCTCAGGTTGTTCCAAGTTTGCTTCTGCGCGAGTCCTTTGGCCGATGATGCATCCATTGAAGGTGCTGCTGCCAGTACTCTCCATCAGCTTGGTGGCCGGTAAGGATTCAAGTACCGACCTACAAAAGCCGCCCCCTTCCGTTCGTGAGAGGATAGATCTCGGCGTGTGTGCCATGTACGCATGCTGTAGGTAACTTTTTTGCCAGGTCCATCCACAGCAAAAGTCATATTGGCCCGAGCATGTCGTGTGGATCGTGTGACAATGCTTACCGATCTGTCTTGTTACCTCCCGTCTGTGTGTCATACAACCCACAGCCCAAACTTGTGACGGGATCCTCAAGGACACTGTTTGCTGCTCGGCTGGATGCGGGGAATGTGGCGGGACCGGGTAAGTGTCACGGTGATGTTTCAAAAGGCGCTAAAGGCTTCCAGATGACACGGCAAAAGACCCTCTCGTCCCTCGGCCATTTGTAGATTGACTTGCACCGATTTTTTGCTTTCATCTTCTGAAGATGACGTATATTGTATCCATCTCCGTAAAAAACAATCGAACATTAGCAATGAACCATAGCTTCATTTTTTCCCCTCGAAGCACGAGAGGTCTATCACCTTTCATATACCGGTCGCCCCGGTGGTCTAGAGGGTAGCTTTGCAGCCTGCTAAGGGCCAGGTCAAGGGTCCCAGTCACGGCAAAGCGAGTTTTTTTCTCACTTGTCGAATCCTGGACTAGGATGAACGCGACGCGCTTCAAAGCTCGTTGTTAGGAAACCATGATCGACTTCGTAAGTCGCGAGGGAAGGGATTGCTGTACCCTTCGAGATTAAAGTACTTTTATGCAGGAATCGAAGGAAGGGGTCCAGACCCCCCTCCTATGTGACCTCGGTTGGGTCGTCTAGCTGGTAGGATTGGAGGATAGGTGCCAAAGGGGCAGACGACAGAGTCCAATGATAAGAGAAAAACAAATATATGTATAAATACCAAGACCTTTTTATCAGTTCGCCAGATTTTTGCCGTTAAACGCCACCAATACACACGAGAAATTGTATCGGTAGGCACACAATTGTAGGTGTCCCTTGACCATCGGTGCGTGACATCCTGGGTGATTTCTACTCCCAACTGTGCACTGCAGGTGTTCCGACCGAGGGGGCGGCTTGACAGGTGATGACTGCTGCCACTCGAAAATAATCGCCGCCAACGTCCCGTGTGGGTCCGCACCCTGCATTGTCGGGGCATCCGCGCCAACCCCGACTCCCCCGACGCCCACCCCGGGCGGCTCTGGTGGCTCGTGCGAAGACGGCATTCTTCAGGGCGATGTATGCTGTGTGGTACGTGTTGGCTCAATTTTCCAAGATTCCTGTTTTCATACGTCACATGAGGTCGTGCGCTTGACAGCATGTGATTTGGCGGTGTCGGGAACGTTTCGGCGCAGAGCATCGGGGGTCTCGTTGGAGGGATTCAAGCCTGAAGATTGAGATGTCGGGCTGTGTGAAATGGCGCAAACTCGGCATCGAGAGGGATGCATGTTATATTGGGAAACTAGCCCGCCCACCATGACGTTGACGGTCATCTTGCCCCTTGTTGAATGTTTCCCCAGGCGGCGTGCGAAACCTGTGGGGGGACGGGATGCAGCTCGAGAAACGGTCTTACCGGCGACGAGTGCTGCACTTCTAACATCAAGGCGGCCGGCGTGTCTTGCGGCGAAGCCCCGTGCATCGTGACTGGTGGGTTGCTTCGCTGCTCCAGATATCCATGTTTCATAGTTGTGTACAGAAGCCCTCCATCAGTGTACTGCTCTCGAGTGTCTTTGTTTCTCGGACGTGTTGCTTCCTTTGTCCCACCTCTCGCGTGCCTGTCGGCTGTTCCGATTCGTCAATTTCCGTCACGTACTCGTCNGTTGTGTACAGAAGCCCTCCATCAGTGTACTGCTCTCGAGTGTCTTTGTTTCTCGGACGTGTTGCTTCCTTTGTCCCACCTCTCGCGTGCCTGTCGGCTGTTCCGATTCGTCAATTTCCGTCACGTACTCGTCTTTTCCGCGTTTCTACGTTGCCGGAATGCGCTTACACGGTTACAGACGACACGCCGACTCCCGTTACCCCCACACCGTCTGGTGACGTCGACTACGAGTCCGTGGGATGCTTCGTCGACGACAGTTCCGACCGCGTGCTCTCGGGCGACTCGGTTTTGAGCAGCAACAGCTTGATGACTGCTGCGGTAGGTTCAGACGTCATCTGGGTGCAATGATTTGCTCGTCGGCTTGTTGCAGTAATGTGGTTTTGTAGAGGTTTGTCCCGTCGGTGAGGCTTGGCGTCTTGTTGGGTTGATCCCCAACCGCCCTCCTTCGAATTCTTACTCTTCCCCATGCTCACTTCTCGCCAATGCTATCCGTATGTTGCTCCGAAACGTGCAGTACTGCGCCGACTTCTGCGAGGGCTCTACCTACTTCGGGACTGAGTACGGATACGAGGTGCGATCAGATTCACCGAGTCATGGAGGCCCCTGTAGCTAAGTTTGTACAGCTTGGTTTTCGTGCGAGAGACAGCAAGTGCCAACGTTAGGTACAACCGTGCATGTGGGTGGGTGTTGTCATGAAGGGTCTCCTTCGCCCATCACATGCAGTAGCCATTTCACATGCAGTAGCCGTTATGGCACCGTTTTCGTGTCGTCCGCTGCCGCTATTTTCGCACGCTGTCAAACAGTGCTTTTGTTCTTCTAGCGGCGACTCTCCGGACGAGCTGGGTGAGGCCTTCAACTGTGACATGGCCTGCAGCGGAGACTCGAGCGAGACATGCGGAGGTTTCAATGCCATCCAAGTGTACCTGCTTGAGGACGGCCCGGTACCTACTCCGGTGGACGACCCGGTACCCACTCCGGTGGTTGGTGAATGGGACGTTCCCGCCCCCTCCCCCACCAGCAACCCGTCCCCCACCCCGTTGATGGAAATCTCCAGCAGCTGCGAGGACGATGCGGCACGGCCTGAGTTCCGATACGCCGCCAGCAGTGGCGTCGCCGGTCGCCTTTGTGAGTATTGACAGGTCGCAGTGTACTTGGATGTGCATGTGCACTCGGAAGGAGTTGCTGCAAGGTCATGCACATCAGACTGCGACGGAAATAAGTTTTCCAGACCAGCATTGTTTGGTTGACTCCGGACGTAGTTGGTCACATTCTGGACGGTTTGTCGGGCCGTCCATTCTAAAACGTAAGGTGTGGAACAATATTTATATCCGTCCGATTGGCACCGACGCTCTCTGTCCTTCAGACGCCGAAGGCGAAGGATGCTTCACCATGACCGACCTGTACAACTTCCGCGGAACGGAGAAGGACGGATCCTCCAAGGGCCCCGTGTACATGCTGGACGATGATGGCACCAAGCTCGACATCCCGTCCGGCATCACGAACAACTGGCTTCTCGCCGCCGAGCTTTACATTACCGGCGGCGGTGTGTTTTACTGCAAGGGAACCAGCGCTGGTGGGGACTGCAACCAGCTCCGTATCCAGTCTACAGGCTCTGACGACTTCCACGAGGTGAAGCACTTGCATTATTTGTCTTGTCTTGTTAATACCTCCTATTGTGTTTGTCCTATATTTGCAAAGAGTAACCCCATGTCGCCTCCTAACCTTCTGGCTGTCGCCTCTCGCGGAACATTCGTTTCCCAGGTCCGCGGGCACGGAGGCAGCTTGTACTTTGAGGACACCATCGTTACCTCGTGGGACACCCCGAACAAAGAGCCCCAGGAGACGTACGAGGGCGGCCGTTCGTTCCTGAACTGCGTGTCCGAGAAGCTCACCGGCGACGATTGCGAGGGTAACGCCAAGAACGAGATGGGAGAGTGCCGGATGGACATCATCAACTCTGAGATCGCCTACCTGGGTTACTTCGACTCCGAGTCCTACGGCATGACGTGGAAGGCAAGATTAACCAGAGGTTTCCCCGTTTGTCCTGTTTCCTTTCGCACGTTTGTGACTGGTTCACCTTCGCCTCGGTCATGTTTACTGTGTCAAACGATCCTGTGGCTTAACATCGATGCTCCGTTGATTCAAAATCTATCGTGGACGCGTTTCAGGTACGTGGATTCTGCAAGGACCTCTCCAACCCGGAGGTGTTCGACCTCACCAACGTGTACGGAGACCTGATCGGATCCGACATCCACCACCTCTACTACGGGCACTACAGCTACGGGCACCAGGGCGGTGTCTGGACCAACAACAAGATGCACGACAACTGGCAGTACGGCTTTGATCCCCATGACGACTCCGACTACCTCACGAGTGAGTGGGTGCTTGCTCTGCACCGATTTAGATGACAGTTGTGCGCATAATCCCCTGTGATGTGTCTGTTGTCGTGATGCATTTTTGTTGTCTGCTATGCATGCGCATGCTGTCTCAGTCACCTTCCCGATGTTTTTCGTCGCGCCGTTTTCTCCGATCTTGCGCAGTCGCGTACAACGAGGTGTACAACAACGTCAACCACGGTGAGCGCTTTTTCCAATTTAGCTACCTTTGCCTTGCGTTTTCCTGGTTGGTCAACGTACCTCTGCCTCTGCCTTCTTCCAGACCCCCGGCTGAGGAGGTTGTGAGAAGGCCACCGTGGCGACCACCGCATAGCCAGCCCGACACACAGCACCGTCATTTTATGTAATCTTTGGTGGTTTCGATGCGACTTGCTCCGGTGATGTGTTCGCCAGGGATAATCGCTTCCAAGCGCTGCAACAACGTGAAGATCTTCGAGAACGAAGTCAGGGATGGTGGCGCCGCCGCCGTTGGAATCTTCCTCCACCGCAGCTCGGACGATGCCGCGGTCTTTGGTACGTATACCGTAGAACGCCCTAAATAGTTGTATTGTTTCGTTGATACACTTTATGACAAGTTTTCACTATGCAATTACCGATTTTGATTCCATTGCAAGGGACTGGTGCACCCTGTCGTCCGTTTCCTGATATCTGAAACCTCAAACCGTTGGTCTCTTTGCGCAGACAACACCATCACGAACATGCAGGACGCTGGTATCGCCCTCCTTGAGGCTTTTGATGCCCAGATCTACGGCAACACCATCAACGGTGCCAAGTACGGCATCCGCATGAGCCTTGGCTCCGGCAACAACGTAGTGTACCAGAACTCCTTCACGGACATCTCTCAATGTAAGCTACGGCAACGATTGGGTGAGATTGTTCGGGGAATGGCGTTGTATTCAAACGTAACATGATGTGAGTTTCAAGCATTTCGGTAATCGTGGTTGATGCTGCCTGCAATGTGTGGCACTTCTTGGTTGCCTTCCATCACTAACCAGTTTTTCCTCTTGACAAGCCGACGCTCGGCCTTCGTACACGTGTCCCAACCCTCTCTGCGGTGAAATCAGACGGTCTGTACACGTACCAAGGAAGCGATGACCCGGACGTGTCTGACGGCCGCCCGTCGGATAACGTTCTCGCCCTCAACCTCGTGGAGGACTGCCCTATCGGTGTTAAGATCAAGGAGGGAGACGACAACGAGTTTTACGGTAAGTTGGCGTTGACTCGCCACTCCGGTGACGGAAGATGAGGGCCACTCGAATGCTATATATTGATTCCTATATTGGTATTCGGTAATACTGGAGAATGTATGCATGTCTCTTAGGTTCCGATGAGCTTGATTTGGTGTTGTCTCTGGCAGTGTGAGAAGAGCTTAAGCTGCCTACCCTCTTGGACTGTACCCGATTTGATGCTGTCTCTCCGACAGTGCGAGCAGATTTCTCGCTGGTGCTTTTGGGTCCGTTTGCATCCAGCAGATGCGCTCATGTCCATCCGTTTTTCGCTTTTGCTCTTGCTTTCTAGAAAACACGTTCATCAACGTGGACACCTTCGAGTTCCCGGAGTCGACCAACACAATGTGGAGCGGCAACGACATCGGTGGCGGCTGTATAGAAGAGGATGACGAGTTCGATTCGGCGTCGGGATCAGACAGCATCCCCACATGCTAATATTTATTGATTTTGCGGCTTCGAACAGCGTTCGCGATTTGATTCACGACCAATATGGGCTCGGTTAGGAAACTCCAAGGGGTCGAGACTGGTTTTGTTGATCCCAGCCGCTCTGGAAATTTTCGTAAGAGCGGCTCAGACGACCACGTGATTGTTTTTTTTCGCTTTCGCTCGAGAAGATTAGGGGGCTCGATGACCCCCTATAGCTTCTGAACGGCATGTGCGCAACAGACCTCGAAAGTCAGTTGTGTAGTCCCTGAATGTATTCTACCTTGTTTCCGTAGCAAACGCACTTGGTTGTGGACGCGCTTGGATGTGTGTGCGTAGATGCATAGGTGGCGTGATCTCGAGTAAATTATTTTTGAAACTGGTGTCTTGCTTTCGGCATCGCCAGCCAACCTTGTACTTTGGTGCGGGAGAGAATCACACATGGATGTGAGGAGGGCCGGCAATGTGAGCTAGCTCCCCGGCTTTTGTTTCAAATGTTGCCTATAGTCGTGATAAAACGACCAAAGTTCACGTTACCCTCGTTAGGATTCCTCGTAGTGGCGTTTTGTGTGTTGATGCCGACACAGCTTGTTCGTGGGAATTGGCTGGGTGTAGTGTGACTCTTAACTCTTAACTCCCATATCAAGTCGTACGGTTATCCGCATGTGCGGCAAGGCTTGCTGTAAAAGAAACCAATCTGTTGTGTTCAGGTTATGTCGTAGATGGTCTGTTCTGACTCAGTCTAACACTAGGGATGCGCTATTTTCGATGTTGTGCCCCGGGTGTAGGTTATTGCTTTGTGGGATGTGCTGATATTAGTTTCGCGTGCGAATGGGAAGAATAATGCTGTACTCTGTTCCTGTTGTCAAAATATCAAGACCTTTGTTGGCCACAGGGATCACACGAGACAATGTGTGGCCGTTGCCTTGATAACTGGCGTCGTTCCAACTTGTTTTGTTTGCAGAAACTACCGGTAGTAATGTTCGAGGGAGAGAACCAATAAAGCGAGGGCCGGTTGGGGGGACGTTTTTGTACTGCTAGTTGTAGTGGGCCAGTCCCCGTTGATGTCCGCCGTTCTTTTTTAATTTGGAAGTGGGAAATACAACAAACAACTGGGATTCCACGAGAGCTGAATGTACAAAGGGAAACAGATGTGGTGCGGTAAATACCAGGTACTTGGCAAAACTTATCTCAAAGTGTGTCCTTTAGAACCACAATCGATGAAGCTCAACGAGTGAAAAGATTTTCGAGAAAGCAATCGGCGAAAAACTTCCTTGACGTGAGGCCCATGTTTTTATGTCTTCAAATCCTGTCTTCCTTTCTTCGTACGAATATTGGCTATTTCGACCTTGTTGGCAGTCTGCCTCCCGCACGAAGCGAATGAACTGTTCGACCTGTGAGCAGTCAGTCGCAGCTTTGGCTGAGATGCCTACAGATCGTCCACATTTCTCGCCAGGGCCCAGAATTTGTTTTTATCGTGATTCTCACGCAAGATTTCATTTTCACCGGCTTTTGGACAGATCTTGGCCCAAGATTTGCTTCGAGGTAGCATTTCGGTCGATTCAAACGTCGTGCTCGCTGGAAGAAAATCGAACGTGGACCTTGGCGAAACAAACAGGCGGTCTGTATGCACCTCAAGCCGAAGCTGTGACTATTCTCGAGAACAGCTGATTCGCACTCGTTCCGGACACAAACTGCCCAAAAGGTCGAAATAGTAGGGTTGGGTACTGAAGAACCAGTACGTACTGCCAGTGCATATGCACTGGCTGCGTCAGCAGCCAGTACTCCAGTACATTCTTATATTCGCAGATTTCCTCTGTATTACGCCTCAAGAACCAGCGGAAACCCATATACTCAGACCTCCTCTGAGAGACACACCGCCACACGTCAAACACTAGCTACCAAACACGCCACAGAGGTCGGGAGACCATACAACGATGGACAGGTTTGTAGTCTCCCCTGCCAGCTCGCCGTCTGCTGCAGACCCCGGCAGTGGTGCTGATGATGCAGGAGCTGCTGCGTCAGCAGCAGCAGCAGCTGCGTCAGCCGTGCAGCAGCAGCAGCTCCTGTCGTTTCCCGTTTCCTGCTTAGCTTTTTACTTTTTAGCTCTTAGCTGGTTTCTTGGTATACGTTCAGGGCTGCCGTGTCGTTGTGTCCTTCGTAGAGTCCAGTATACGATAGCGTCGCTCATCAACCCAACTGATGGATGCCACTTGGTTGCTTGGGAGTAATATTATAATGTTTCAATATTTCCTCATGTCCAAAACCAACAAATTCAGTCGTTGAACTCGAACTTTCTATCGTTTTCCCCGCGATAGTGCCTCTGTCAGATGGGCCAAAATCACTCATTTTTTTTGCTCTAGTGAAGCCAAATCGCGTACAAAAGCGCCTCCGGCGGGGCGCCTCCAGCGGGGCCCTCCGGGGGCGCCTCCGGCGGGGCCCCCTCACCAGCCGGGGGGGGCCGATGGTCGCGGCTGCGCCGCGACCGCGCGGCTTCGCCGCGCCACCAGTGTACTGATCGGATCCAGTTTACTGGCTGCTGACGCAGCCAGTATACTTTTTACTGGCGCGCAGCGCCAGTACCCAACCCTACGAAATAGTCAACATTTGTCGAATGAATAAAGGAAGGATAAGGATTGGACCCTTATCCAGCAGCACGGAAATGTAGCAGGGATGAGCTCATTTATTTGGTGGATTTCAGATTTTACAAGAGGGCATCAACGCAGCTAGTATTTTAGCAAGCTCACGAACGCATGTAGGATACCATGAGGATTGTCATTGGTTTTATTATTTCAAGTTGACGAGGATAAAGTTACGATGTAGGAGAGACAGTAGATTAGTAGAAGTTAGGGTCGTCCTAAACGACCTCGGAATTTTACCTGCGATCGCAGGTTTCAGACCCCGGATCGCAGAAAAATGAATGCGGGCGTTTCAAACGAAGCAAAGTGTGGAAAAGAGGGTTTCGTCCTCGACAGACGTTGGGGAGTTTCAACCTTTATTTCTCCACAAGAGCACAAAATTTAAAAACCTGCGATTTCTGCGATTTTGGCGGTCAAACCGCTCCCGACGACCGCAGAGGCCGTACACAACAGCAGAGGCCGTACATAGCAGGCAAATNGGTCGTCCTAAACGACCTCGGAATTTTACCTGCGATCGCAGGTTTCAGACCCCGGATCGCAGAAAAATGAATGCGGGCGTTTCAAACGAAGCAAAGTGTGGAAAAGAGGGTTTCGTCCTCGACAGACGTTGGGGAGTTTCAACCTTTATTTCTCCACAAGAGCACAAAATTTAAAAACCTGCGATTTCTGCGATTTTGGCGGTCAAACCGCTCCCGACGACCGCAGAGGCCGTACACAACAGCAGAGGCCGTACACAGCAGACAAACATCCACCATGGCCGACCAAAACAGTGTGACACCGCGGGTATCAAGGCCCAGGAGGGTTGGGTCTCTTCCTTTACGGTTCCAGACGAGCGGGGAACCAGTTGCTGCTGCTGGTTATGGGTTAGGACGGCCTCAAATGCCTCCTGCTGTGGGCATCAGCCCTCCGCCAGGCATGTCTCGCGAGGTCGTCACCGGGAGTACCGCCGCTCGCTCAGCCCTGCAAGGTCGTCGGCAGGCGTCTAGGATAGATGCTGCGGCACGTACAGCTCAGCGGCCTGTGCTCCTGCCGTTGCAACACCGACCATGACAAGGAAGGCCATCACGGCGGCCTTGATCGCAGCAGTAGTCTAGAAGTCGTATCATGGTCTGTTTGGTCGGAGCGCCGCAGTCGCCGCCTTTGCGGAGCCGTCTGTGAGGTTCCCCGAAGCTCCCGGCGCCTTCTATTGTCGGCCATGGACCCTAGCCTACTCTGGCGATCAGTTCTGGGGGTTATAGTGCAGCTACGGGGGTGATACAGGTGGCTTGGTGTGCTGTGCCCGATCCAACGTGATGCGCTCAAGAGAATCGCAGAAATCACAGTACCTGCGATCGCAGCAAAGGAGCAGAGGTAATTTTTTCGGCCCTGCTCCCGACCTGCGATCGCACGTAAAAAGCCTCCATATTCGCAGGTATAACCTGTGATCGCAGGTTTCGCAGGTTGTTTTTGGCCTGTTTAGGTCGACCCTAAGTCCTACATACGTTGTTGTACTTAGTGTCGGTTTAACATTCATGTAGAGTAGTACAGTCGAGGGACCCTTTTAGTGCCGGTACGTGCACAGAGCGTTCACCGGCACTAAATCGGGCACCCGGCACTATTGCGAATAGTGCCAAAACGGCACTATTGAGGGCTGGCCAATCCCTCATTAGTGCCGGTACCGGCACTAATGAGGTTGTGTTCGATTTATGGTGTAGCGCCCACGCTTACGGGGCCAACAAAGAACGAAATGGATCGACACTATTACTGTACTGTTGAGTGAAGTTCCAGCATGAATGAGCGTGGGCAGAGTTGAGTTTTCTTTTTGTTGTCTTGGGGCGCTCTTTGGTTCTTCATTTTCTTCTGCACCTCACTTATTTGCTTATTTGTGTACTACTGTCGCCGGGACCAATTCTCTCCTGTTTGCCTGGCGCACCCGCTTCGATGTTGCAAGAAAAAAAAAA